CTCCTGCTGTGGTGAATGAAGAGAAACAGGAAACTCCAGGGGTGTGATGGAGGTCACCCCAATGTGGGCACCCACGACTAACCATATGCTTCACATACCAAAAATGCATTTTCTTTATTTCGTATACAAGCTGTTTATACAGAAGGTGTTTGAAGTGAGGTGTTCTCTTACATAACTGAGGAACCACCTCAACAGCTTGCTGTCTGATCAATTGTAGGCAGTGCAGTGCTTCAGTCAGAGATGAAGAAACCCCACAAGGGCCAAATATCTCAAAGGTTGTGGTTTTGAGGGTGGGATACCGCTCATCATAATATTTCAGGGTGGGATTTGCTTGCTACCTGAGACAATGGATCTGTCCTTCATTTACGGACCCCCTTCCTGCAGTAGACATGTACTAGTCACTATGGAAGAGGTATTTTTGAAGAGTAGTAGAAGTCTTTCAGAAAAATGTCCACTTCTAGAGCATGTCCTTGGCCAAGGAATGTATCCTGAGTAGCAGCTGTACATAAAAATTGAGCCAAATACTTTTTTGTTGTTGTTATTTAACAGGTTTTAATAGATCTTTGGAAGAAAATGTGAGAGGTATTCAGTAGTCGTTGAAAATACACAATAATTCATTTCCCTATTTTGTCTTTGGCATGTTACAGATCCTGGAAAAAGTTCAAATGGTTGGAAAGTTGTACCTGCAACTTCTCAGTGTTGGCAATATCCTCTTCACAGACTGGAGGGCTGACATCTACTGCAATCCCCAACACAGAGTAAAAGTTTACACAGAATTTGGAATTGCTGGCATCCTTGTTCAGAGCACCAGACCTGTCCTGGAGGAGCTGGATGGCCTTTGCAAAGCAATGGAGTACTGCCTCGTAGAGTGGAAGAAATATCTGGAAACTCAAAGGGACACGTACTATCATCTCAACCTATTCACTGCACACCAGCTCTTATATTTGTGTAGCCAACTGGCCAAAGCCCACAATAATGTAATAGAGCCACAGATTCTTAATATGCTTTCTGTTCTAAAGCATGACATTAAACCAGAAGATATTAGAAAAGCCCTGCAGCAAGCCCTCATGATTCCACTCGACTCTGTCGATACATCACCAGCAGACAAGGAGTCTGTTACCTGGCATGACTATGTCATTCGTTTTCCCCAGCTCATCAAAAGTCTGGCTGAATCTGGCTATGATACTTCAGTGGCAAAGGCAGCCCTGCAGAGCTGCCTGCCAAAGTCTGACATTACAGAGCAGAAGCTCATGAATTTTGCCTTTGAACGAGGTGATGACAAGGAAGAGGTTGAAAATCTGAGCAAATTATATGATGAACAGCGAGAAGCCTTTTTGCAGAAGTCAAGGAGGTTTAAAAACATGAACAGAGATGTTGACCAAGCAACTTTTAGCACCCTTGCAGAAGATGAACTGACTACCACCTTTGAGAGTTTGCCATCCATCTGTGACAAGGTAAATCTGCTCTGGGACGCGTACTGTAAGAAATTCACTGGCCTTGTATCAGACAAATACATCAGCCTGGATGTCTTCGGTGAAACCCTGAAGCAGTTAGCAGCTCTTGAAACCACATGTATCAAGAGAAGTTTACCAATAGGCCTTGAAGCCACAAAACCTTCTCTCATCATGTGTAAAGAAGATGAAATGTTACTCTGCATGCTCTCCGTTTACGGACACACCAAGACAGCACCTTTCCCAACATATGATGAGGTGCTGGTGTGTACACCCAACACAGAGGAGGAAGAAGTGGAGCTGCTTGTCAGGAGAGCTCTTTCATCTGATTCTCAAAACCAGAAAATCTACTGCTTGCTGGGTGCTGAGAAATTAGTGTACAAAGTTTCCAAGCATCTGGAGTTCTACTTCTTCCGCATGTTGCAGTCTTCTAGAGTTCCTGACTACAGGTTCATTATCTTTTGCAATGCCAAAGCTCACAGTTCTTATGTTATCACAGCCTTCGACACCTACAAAGTCACTATCCCATGCTACTCTAAGACAGAAATCCAGGCATACTTGAGCACACATCTCAAAGTGCCCTGTGGGACAGCCCCTGTTGCTCAGGCCTTCGAAGAGCCCTATCAGCAGAATGTGAAGCTCTTCTTTTCAACTCAAGCAGGAA